TCCCGCCCACGGAAACTCGGGTTTCGGGAGCCAAATTCCAGCGACCGAGCCCGTGGGCACCGGCGCGCGCGGGGGCCGGGGACGCGAGCCTAGACTGCGGCTCAGGGGGCCGCTGTGTCCCATGCGCTGGGCTCCGGGGACCTTTGAGGTCCCACACCCATCCTAGAAACAGGAGCTGGCGGGGCCCGCAGCATAAGGCAGGGGAGGTGGGGACAGGGGGTAGCGTGCAGGCCGAGGGCCCCGGAGTGACCCGCGCTCCCTGCACCTCACTTCCCCAGGTCTGCTGGAGCTCTCCCCGGTAGAGAGGGGCGTTGTTAGCATCTTCGGAGTCTCCAGCCGGTTCTTTGTAGCCATGAGCAGCAGAGGCAAGCTCTACGGCTCGGTGAGTACTGCAGGGACCCAGCTTTCGGGTGGGTTGTGCGCTGCCCAGGCAAGGTCATGGGATGGCAGGGTGGACAGCATCCTGCCGCCAGTGGGGGGTGGGGAGGAGGAGAACCAACCCGTTCTGGGGGTGGTGGGAGCAGCTTGGAAGCAGCAACCATGAGGTCCTTGGGAGGTCTGGGTGGGCACCCCTTGTCCCCACAGACACCACTGGGGGCCCCTCTCTGAAGGCCGGGGCTAGGTCTGTTGGAAGGCCACCAGGTGCCCTGCAGGTGGCAGGAGCATCAGCTGGTGTGGGCTGGGCTGACTGGGAGAGTCCTTCACAGCCCGGTGGCTCCCCCTGGCCACTGCCCCCCAGGCCCCTCACACTGACCCCCTTCCCTGCAGCCCTTCTTCTCGGATGAGTGCATGTTCAAAGAGATCTTGCTCCCCAATAACTACAACGCCTACGAGTCCTTTAAGTCCCCCGGCCTGTTCATCGCCCTGAGCAAGAACGGAGGGACCAAGAAGGGGAACCGGGTGTCACCGACCATGAAGGTCACTCACTTCCTCCCCCGGCTGTGACGCCCCCTCCGGAGAACCACCTGGAGGTGCACTTTCTCTGGACGGACTTTCACGGACCGAGGGCGCCGTGTATTTAATTCTGTAAAAGTGTATATACCCACTTATTTATGGTTTTCTGAGTGTGTCAACTTGTCTGCCCTGGGCGGAAAAAGGACAAGAAACAAACAAAGCAAATCTTGCTGAAAGTAGGGGCAGCTCGCCAACCACATCTTCCACGTGTCAAGAAAATCGTCACCAACCCGCTGCTGCTCTTCTGTGAGTCTGTGGTCAGCCTGACTTGGCACACCTGCTGCCACCCTTCCCCCCTCCTCTTTTCCCCCTAGATTGGAGTTGAGCACCCCCAGTGCAGACTGGTCTTTGTGGGCCGAGGAAGTTCCCGTCTTAGCTTCCAGCGCCCTTCAAAGCCCCACCCCTGCACCCTGTTGCTATTAATTGGGGCGTATCGGTTTACCTCGGGGACTGAGCACGCAGCCCAAGTCCCCCTGCTGCCACTCCGCTTTTAGACTCGCCAGGGCTGACCTCTCAACTCGCCGGGCCTCCACCTCACGGGCAGAGCCCAGTGTGAGGCTGCAGAAACTCCTGTTTGCCTTTTTTGGGATGGGCCCCAGCTACAGGGGGTGGAGGCAGGAAAGCCAAGACCACGCTGTCATCCCCCTGGGAAGGACAGCACGTTTTGCAGCCAGGACCACCACCCTCAGGGATGACATCTCCTTTGAGCTCTTGGATGTAGACGATCCTGTAAAGGCGCCTGTGGACACCGCAGGGCCGAGGCGCTCTGGACCACTGGCGAGCTCCTTGCAGCACCTGGAACCTAGAACCTGGAACCTGCCGGTTGTGCCCCACACTTCCGGCTGCTTCCTGACGATGACAATGACGTGGATTTCTCATCTACCTCACAAGGCAGTCGTCCGGCCAGCCCGTGGGGAGTTCCGACCTGGACCAGAACTGACCGCCCAAGTAGCTCTTCCTCGCCGCTATTGCTTGCACGTGTCACCCCAAAGCGTTGTGATCTGGCCTCGCTCGGTGGGTCTCCCTTTTGAACCTTGTCACGTTTGAGCTATCTTTACCCCCCTGCGCAGTACTTTTAGTACAGATAATCATGGTGAAAATATTTCCAGACAGCTGTTGGAGTGCACTATATGGTCACCAAGTAACTTTATCGTTTTCTTTATATATTTTACAAATGTCACCCCTGGCGTTGAAGCCACGGGGTCGGTCGGGCTGAAGAATTCCGAGGTGACGGCAAACGTTGCCATCGCCACGCGTGATCTTTTTTTAAATGGCTCATGCAGTGCGACACCCCCCTTCCCCGCCTCCCGGAGTCACTGGAGTCAGGAGGGGGTGTCTACAGACAGAGATGTCTGATTGGACTTCTTGCACATTCCTCCTCGTTTGCATGCTAATCGCTCTACTTAAAATACCAGTCTGAGGCTGGGAGGTGGAGGCACTGGCCGAAGCCGGGAGGACAGGACCTGACGTCCAATAGGGCTTTCACTCCCGACCACCGAGTCCAACGCCGACCCCTAGCGACCCTGTAGGGCAGGCTTGAACTGCCCCTGTGGGTTTCCAACACTAACTTGTGACTGGAGCAGAGAGCCTCGTCTTTCTCCAGAGGAGTGGCTGGTGGTTTCAAACTACTGACCTTTTGGATGGCAGCCCAACCAGTAACCACCACCACCACCGGGGCTGCTCCCACACAGCGAGCCTGCAGAGAGCCTGATCATAATCAGGAGGCTGGAGGGTTTTTTTTTTTTGGGGGGGGGCGTTATTGTTTTAAACCACACCGTAAGAAAACAGGTGCCTCAATGCCTATGGCTGTTTGGGAACTATAGAACCTTCTGGATGTAGGGGGTGCACTCCCGAAACCAAGGCAAAACGCACTAGGCCAAGCTGGCTTTCCTCAGAACCCCAGTAAGTTGTCAGGAATAAAGATGTCTTAAGTATAGAATTCTGCCCCCCCCCCCACTCCTGGGTTGAGTGAGTGAGTGAGTGAGTGTGTGTGTGTGTGTGTGTGTGTGTGTCTTCTAAGCCCCGTGAGCGTTGCGTATGGGGCACCTTGTCCCTTTGAGCTGTTGTAAAGTTTGTGTATTGCTGGGGGGCTGGCGGACATTGTGGTCTCTGCTGGTCGCCGAGTGCAGAGTCTGTAGATCTATCCAGTGCCCGTGGGTACTGGGAGGTATGTGCTGTGCACATTGTAATATGGAATCAAGGGAAGAGGGGGCACGATTATGTATTTTTTAATAACCAGTGGGATTGGATATAAATGTTGTAAATAACTGTCAAAGGTGTATTAAAGGAATATTAAAACAGGCCCTCCCTGAAATGACAATATGTGATTCCCCTCGCCACTCTGCCCCCCACCCCTTCCCTTGGCCTTTCTATTTGAGGCCTTGAACCTCACATTGCTGGGGGTGGGCTGGGGCCAGGAAGATGGATTCTGGCCAGCTGTGTCCACATATGCGGCCTGAGATCAGAAGCCCAGGGGGGTCAGTCTCACCGAGTTGGACGGCGACTCTGAGCCTAAGTACTCTCATCCCCCTGATGGGGTTGACTCTTGCCACACACCCCTTCCCTCACCGCTCCACACCCTGAGTGGCCCAGCTCTGTGCTGTAGGGCTGCAGAGGCTACCACAGGCCTGGAAGTCAGCATCAGGGCCCTCCTGGCCCAGGACATGGGCGAATAAATGGAGTAAAATCATAGGAAGAAGAACATAATAGATTGTATCCCTCCTAATGAGTCTAAGTGGCCCAGTGGCTTAAACACTGGGCCGCTAACCATAGGCTGGTGGTTCGAACCACCAGCCACCCCTCTGGAGGAAGATGGAGACTGGCCGCCCCAGAAGCCCTCGAGGGTCGCTGTGATAGCCATGGCTATGGGTGCTGCATGGTCAAGTCCATCCAGAGCTACCCAGAAAGAGATCTACTGATGAGTCAGCTGCTGAAAAACCCCTGGAGCCCACCCCCCTCTGATGTGTGAGGGGTCCACACGGCAACTATTTCACACAGCAGGGAGGGAGCTTGGTATCCACCGTAGTAGTGGTCGTATTGTTGTGTAAAAATTTATCTTAATTCATTGGCCCCTAAATAGCTCTCAAAGTTACCCCCCACCCTCACCCTAAGAAACAGCTCTTTCTGGGAGCAGGCTGCCTCATCTTTCTCTCTGTGAGTTCCTGGTGGGTTTGAACCATTGATCTTGTGGTGAGCAGCTTAACTCAGGGTGCCAGCGGGGCTCCCCACCTCCATAGAGTGAGTACCCAATCCCTTTACAAAGTGACCGCTCCAAAACCCATCCCAGCTGGGAATCTTAAATGGCACCTGTCTTCCCCTACTAACCACAAGGTCAGCAGTTCAAAACCGAAGGCGGGGCTTTCGACTCCCGTAAGCAGTGCCAGCCTCGGAAATCCTCATGGAGCAGTTCTACCCTGTCCTACGGGGTCACTGTGAGTCAGAATCACTTGATGGGCAGTCAGTTTGTTTGGGGGGAGTGTTTGTTTTGTTTTTGTCCTTTGAGGGTTCCGCTTCTGCCGCCTCACCCTCATCCTGCTGTGACGAATCCAAGCTATTTACAACTCCCTGTCATGGAGTCCAGCCCAACTCAGAGACCCTCGAGCACAGAGGGGGACCGGCCCTGTGGGTTTCCGAGGCTGTTGGTCTTCACGGGAGCACCCAGCCTCATCTTTCTCCTGCAGTGTCTGGTGGACTTGAACCACCAGACTTGAGGTTAGCAGCTCAACATCTGAGCCACTGTGCCCCCAGAGTACCAGGTGGAGATGAAGATTTGGGTCACTCATGCCCAGCTCCCCACCCCCCCGGCTGGCCCCATGTGGTGTCCCAGAGACAGGACATCTCCCCACTCCCAGGTGTGCCACACTCCTGGAGCAAAACCCGCCGGCTGAAGGGAGCTCCACTCTCTAGCATAATAGTCAGCGACTTCAGGGAGCCCACCCTGGATCCAAGCAGGACTGGCTCCTGGGGGGCTTCAGTGGCTGGTTTTCAGAAGTAGGTGCCAGAAGCAGCCCAGAATGTTCACCAGGTGCTCCCCGCCACCCTTGCTGGGGTGCCAGGGATGAACCCTAAGACGCATTCATTCACTCATTCACGTAATAGGCATGGGCTACGTGCCCGCTGTGGGCCTGGCATACATGCAGAAAGAACAAAGACATGAGTGAGGGGCCAGGGCAGGATAGGACCGGACCTGAGAGACAGACACCCAGAAGCCACTGCGGCTGGAGTCGCCGGCGGAAGGGGTCAGGTCAGAGGGACCAGGTTGCGAAGAGCCTTGGAAGACCACCAGACCAGACCAAACCCACTGTCGTCGCGTTGGCTCCAAGACCCTGGAGGAGAGGGTAGAACTGGCCCTGCAGGCGTCCGAGGCTGCCAGTCCTTTACAGCCGATGATCTCTTCCGGCTCCTTCAGAGCAGTTGCTGGGTTCAAACTGCTGACCTTGAGGTTAGAGGCTCGACTCGTCACTTCCAATGCTACCAGGTCTCCTTTGGACACCTTTTGCTCAAGGAAGATGGAGCCATCTGGAAACTGACCTTGGAGCCCAGCAGGGTCCTGACAGGCGTGGCTGAGGAGGGGCTGTGGATCCTGGTGAGAAGTCGTTCATCCGAGGGGAGGTGGGGCTCCCCGGAATTTCTCCCTGCCACCACACAGGAACCTCACTGGTCTCTGGTCTTCCACTGACCAGCCCCAGGACTCCTGGCTGTCAACCTTGGAGGGGCCTGGGTCTCCACACAGTGCCCTCCACCCCCATGGCTGAGGGGACCCATGCCAGGACCTAGGTTAAGTACTTTGCACCACCTACGATCAATCCCGTCATTATCTTGAGCCTTCTGCTAAGAGTCTTAGTTATCGCCTTAACCTCCCAATCCATCTTATCTTCCTGCTAATGAGGCCATTGATTCTGCTGGGAGGCTCTGCTTGCTCCGGGGCAGGGAGAAGACCCTTCCCCAGGGTGTGGTCTGGTCCTCTTGGGAAAGGTGGGTTCTGGGGTCTG